TGAGACAGGAGAGGTCTGCTGCACCATGTGGGTAGCTCCCTGGTGGGGGATCAAACTTGTGCTGCAGTGGCTGGTGACAGCTTGATAGTGCTCAGACTTTAACCCCTGTGCCACCAGGGAGGCCCTCCTTATATATATATTTAAATATCTCAACGCAACAGTTTCTAAAGGCAATACCTAAACTTTTATGCACAAGGCAGGAAATGTATCATAAGTTGACAAAAGACAAGGAGCACTATGGTAGGTTAGCCTTTACATGAGTCTTTCAGAAAAAAAAAAAAAATTTCACATTATCTCCTTTTACCTAGAGGTTTTACCTTTTAGGGTGAGGATGTGGATAAATTAATACAAATGAAACTTCCAGTATGCTTTTCTACCTCCACTTCTTTGGAATAGGGCTATTGTGAAAAGGGAGGTGGGTGTGAGAATATAAAAAACTTTTTGGGGGTTATATTAATTTTAGGAAAAAAGACAAATACAAATACTAACAGAGGATCTAAAAATAAAATTTCTGCCTGTCATTATTAGTGTACCTTAGAAAGTTTTCTGATACTTTTGAGGGTGGCTATAACTCAAGTTGAAGATTATTGTCTTAAATAATTCCAATAGAAGAGAGAGAGCCAGAGAGAAGGGTGATCATAAAAAATAAAGAGTGACTGCAGGAGGCATTTTTCTACTGAGTTCAGAATATGAGATGATGGACAGATGTGTACATTTACGTAAATACTGGAGCACAGCACAATCCTTGAATAACAATACCAGGAAAAGCAGAGTCCAGAATGAGCTTAGAGATGTGAAAAATAGTGAAAACCAGAAAGGTCCTTTTTAGGTCATGATCACAACAAGAACAAAAGCATAAAGGTGGAGGGGGAAGATGATGTAATGTTAAAAAGATAACAGAGAAAGCAGAACTAACCAAAGTTTCTTTTTATCTATCTAGTCTTCTTCTTTTTTTTTTAAAAGATTTATTTATGCATACAAGAGCTGCTGGGGTACAGGCCAGAGGTGTGGGGTTGAGAGGATTCACAGGGACAGAGTGGGGAACAGAACAGGCAGACTGATGAAACACACTGCTGAGGGGAGCAGCGGGCAAGTCAGGAGAGGTCTGCTGTGCCATGTGGGTTGCTCCCTAGCCAAGCTGGGGGATCAAACTCATGCTGCAGTGGCTGAGGACAGCTTCATAAGTTGTGTCTTAACCCCTTGCGCCACCAGGGAGGCCCTCTCTAGTCTTCTTGCCATAACTACTAGAAAGGATGTAAGAGTAATGGCAGGAAGGAATCTGAAAGCAAGGAAGGTAGGAAATAGATCTTTTAAAAATTCAATCATCTTTACGTGTGGTATTATGCCCAGATAAATTGTATCCTGAGGTGTTTAGAGAGTTTGTCATTAGAATAATGCCAGTACAATTAACAATCTTAGAAAATAATTTCATAAACTGAATATCAGCATAGATCTATTAAGAAGAGTGCATTTAAACTAACCTAGGAACTTATTGTTCAAATTAGGACCCAGACTTTATTATTTTTTAAAATTTAACATCCTATTGTAATATTTCCCCAATATTTCTCACTTAATATTCTTCAATGCCATAACTTTCAATGGCTCCAGGGTACTCAATTGTATGAGTATTTCTTCAATTGCCTAATCAATCCACCACAGTCAAATTTGGTTTCACATATTTGGCTTTTAAAAACCATGCGGGTTGTGGTCACTTCTTATAAAATGTTATAAATTATTACTTTTTTTAAACTTTAGTAGAGTATCCCAGAAGAGCAATGAAGAATTATAAGGCCTTTAAATAAGTATCACCAAAACTGCCTTAAAAAGAAGTACCTAGGGCCTCCCCTGGTGGTGCAGGCTGTTGAGCTCCACACTGTGAAGCTGTCCGCAGCCTCCGTAGTGCCAATTCGATCCCCGCCAGTGAGGGTCCCACATGGCGCGGCAGACCTTTCCTGTCTCGCCCGCTGCTCCCCTCAGAGGTGTATTTCATCAGTCTGCCTGTTCTGTTCCCTGCTCTGTCTCCAGTGAATCCTCTCACCTTCCCGTGCATCTGGCCTGTACTCTGGTTCTTGTAAAAATAAATAAATCTTAAAAAAAAAAAAAGTACCTATTTGCATTCTCAACAACAATGTACAAGTGCTGCTTTTTCTAACCCTTACCGTGATTGGAGGATTTTAGTAGAAAAAGTTGAAAGGGGGACTTTTTAATTGTAATGAAATACCATTACCGGGCCTCCCCTGGTGGCGCAGGCGGTTGGTTGAGTGCCGTGCTGTGGAGCTGTCCACAGCCTCTGCAGTGCCGGTTCAATCCCGGCCGGCTGGCAAGGGTCCCACATGGCTTGGCAGACCTCTCCTGTCTTGCCCGCTGCTCCCCTCAGCAGTGTATTTCGTCAGTCTGCCTGTTCTGTTCCCCGCTCTGTCTCTGGTGAATCCTCTCAACTTCCCGCGCATCTGGTCTGTACCCCGGTTCTTGTATAAATGAATGGGTAAATCTTTAAAAAAAACAAAGAAAGAAAGAAATACCATTTTCTTTTCTTTTTTCTTTAAGATTTATTTATTCATGCATACAAGAAAGGGTACAGGCCAGATGCATGGGAGGGTGAGAGGATTCACCGGAGACAGAGCAAGGAACAAAACAGGCAGACTGAGCGAAACTGCTGAGGGGAGCAGCGGATGAGACAGGAGAGGTCTGCTGCGCCATGTGGGTAGCACGGCCGGCCAGGATCGAACCCGTGCGGCAGAGGCTGTGGACAGCTGCATAGCACTGTGTTCAACCGCCTGCACCATCAGGGGGCCCTCCACCACTTACCATTTTCACCGGACAATTCAGTAGCATTAAGCACAGTCACAGTGTTTTCATGTGATTTGCCATGACAAATAATGTTGACAAATACAAGCCACTTTTTTGAGAAATGGAAAATTGCTACTTAATTTTTCATTAAACATGCACTTTCCTTTCTCTCATTCAAATCAGAAGGGTGACAGGGAAGTACAGCATGTAAATAGTTAAGGATTTGTACCTATAATAAAGGACAACAATTTGAGTGATGGGTGGAGACTACTCTCTCTGTGGACTACTCCGCGGCTGCTCTACCAAGCTTCCATTTGCTTGCATAGCTTTACCCTCAGCCTATAATTTTCTGTGCTTCCTGTTGACCCTGTTGACTGGTGGCCTGGAAACCTCATCCGTCTTGCAGGTCACTGGCTGCTACATCAAATAGCTAGCGAGAGGTGCTATTTCTTCTATGGCCACTGGAAGGAAGAGCTGTTCCAACCTGTTCACATACCAGAGAGCATCGTTTTATCAGAACGTTCACCATTCATGCTCAAAGGTGTGTGTTGGTTACCTTGCTTCAGGAAATGTCAGATAAAGAGAGATAGGTGATCTTTCAGATTATCCACAAGTCAAAATAAGAACTCTGTTCTCTGTCACTAACATTGCTAGTGAGACCAGGAGCTGGAATACAGGGCAGCTCAGCAATTCCATCCTGGCTTTTTTTAAACATCTTTTCCATGCCATTGTTTATAGTCAAACTCCATTTACACGTGAAAAACCCAAGAGGACATGGTAAAGGCGGGGGACTATCAGGACGATAGACATAGAACAGGCGAGTTCCCAGCAAAGAAGGATGTTTTAGTCAGGCTGCTCCAGAGAAGCAGAACCAACACGTAGATCCAACATAAAGGAAGGCAGATTTGTTACAGGGATTGGTTCACGTGGCGACAAAGAATGAGAATTCGCGCAACCTGCCATCTAACAGCTGGACAGCCAGGAAAGCCCTAGCATGAAGATTTCGGGACCTGGAGCGCCTGTCACTGAGCGCAGGAGACGTCTCAGCTCGGGAAGAGGGTGTTCACCTTCCTTTGCTTCTTCTATTTGCTCCTGCAGTGGATTGGACGGATGATGCCAGCACACTTTGGTGACGGTGGATTTCTTCACTCACTCTGCTGAATCAAATGCTAATTGCTTCTAGAAATACCCTCGTAGGCACACCCAGAAATAATGTCTTACCAGCTCTTGGGCATCCCATAGCCATGTCAGGTTGGCACATCAAATTAACTACACAGGAGACTTAGGGTCATATGACTCAGAACTAGGTCATCAAAGATGACAACTTAATGACTTGTTGCCCCAGTGTACATGCGCCAGGGGTTCTGGGCTCCCTTCTCAGGACACAAATGGGAGTATTACTGTGTTCCGTTTTAACACAGCAGAAAACAATTACCAAGTGCTCCAATTTCCCTGAAGGCCCACTGCTGTATAGTACCAAGCTTGGTATCTACTTACTCTTTTGTTTGCAAATAAATAAATAATTCCTTGATTATGGCAATTTAAGCAAAAAGGCATTTCATGTGAAGGATGGGGGTACCATCAGAATCCCCAAGAACCCGCATTGGGACAGGACGCTGGACAGCCTGCCAGGCAGCAGGTCTCCTTCACACTCTTGGCTGCAACAGGGAACGTTGTTTCTCCCGCCACTGCTCTATGGTGCTCAAGAGTCAAAGTCCTGGGAAAGAGGGGCTGGCTGAGCTGAGGTCATGTGCCAGCCCGTGGCTGCAGCAGGCCCGAGAGCAAGGGTTTGTACCAGTCTCCAGGGATCTTTTTGGCTTTCCTCCTGTTAGGCTGGCACTTGAATGTCACTAGGATTTCAGGCTATGTGGGGAAATGACGGCCCAGCTGGAAATGGGGGTGCTCTTGGGAGGCTGGGATAAAGGCTGAGCATCCCAACATGTCTGTATCTACCACTGAGAGCAAAAGTAGAGATCCTTTTAATGGTATCAAAGCCCAGGAGCCCCTGGAAGGGGTATGTGCTGACTCGTTTGACTATTCTCCAGATCACTTGATTGCTTTCATTCCCGAACTCCCCACCCCTAAGTATATACATTTAAAAAAAAAAAATTCATAGGACAAATTGGCAGGCCTGGAATTCTTGGGTTATAAGATAAGACTTGCATTTATACTTTTTTTTTTTCATTTTCCATTTCCCTGTAACACAGAGTCCCATGGACGCTGAGAACCTGCCTCTAGTCATGGCAGATTGACTTTCCAGTGGCTGGACAATTGCCCGGTTGAAGGTCACCCTGTGGAAACCTCTTTCCTGGTCATGCCAGCGTGTTTGGGATGCTGGAAACACATACATTTCCTAATGACAAACAATTTTTTAAATATCCATTGCTATCTGGACAAAATCAACCACAGGTCACTGCTTAGGTCAGTTGATCCACGTTTTAGGAAAGAGGATAGTATTTGCCTGAGGGATCTGCAGGCAGCCTGGTGATAACTCCCCCTTCTGCACACCAGGCGTTTCCAAAAGCTGGGGGCAGGGAAGCATGATTGCCCAGCAGGGTGCTGATTATGAGACTTAGCCCACATCGCCCTGAGCCAGGTTCCTCTAACTCCACACTTGAAAAGGTGAGTCCTGCATTGCTTCAGAGAATTGTAATTTATTTATTTATTTTTTTTAAGATTTATTTTTTATTTATTTCTTTATTTGTACAAGCACTGGGTACAGTCAGAAGCGCGGGAGGGTGAGAGAATTCACCAGAGCCAGAGCGGGGAGCAGAGCAGGCAGAAGGACCCAAGTACACTGCTGAGGGGAGCAGCGGGCGGCAGGAGAGGTCTGCGCGCCATGCGGGACCCTCCTCCGGTGGCCCGGGAGCAGCCGGGGATCGAACCGGCACTGCAGAGGCTGCAGTCAGCTTCGCAACCCAGCGCTCAACCGCTGCGCCACCGGGGAGGCCCCAGAGAATTGTAATTTAAATGTGGGAGAATTGGAAAATCTCTCCCCTGCATCTCACCCTCACATTCCTTAGGTATTTCCCCATCATGGTCTCACGGGGAACACCCAGCAACCGTGTATGCTGAATGAAGCATCCCTGTGCTCTGTTTTATAGTTACCCAGGTGTCAGCATGTGCCCTGTGGCTACAGGACCCGGATGTAAATCCCTTGAGATTAGGGATTTCCTAACTTTAGTATTGCTTATTGCCCTTACTACAGTGCCTTGCCCGCTCCAGCTACTCAATTGGTTTGCTGGCTGAATATCCTTGGGTTTGGGCTAGTTCTAGAACTTCCTTGGGTCCCAAGTTATGATGTCTAGGAGGGCTGGAGAAGGTGAGCTCTCCTTAGGAAACAAACAGAGAACCCTGGTGGAGTTCTGAACCCACATCCAGTGTTTTCCAGGAAAGGAAGAAACCTGTGCGAAAGCAGAACCCCTATCCCTTCTGCACACCAGGCGTTTCCAAAAGCTGGGGGAACCCCTTTCCCTTCCTCAGGGTCTGTACCCCATGTGTTCCGGCCACCTGGCCTCTTTCAGTATCTTGTGCTAATTCTTTGACAGAGCTTCCTCTCGACATGTTCCCTCTCTCTCCACATCACAACCACTTCACTTTTACCCACTAGCACCTCATCCTTCAGCTCTCAGCTTCATTGCCAGTTCCTCACTGACTGCCCTGTCCCGGCACCAGGTAGTTTTCCTAGCATTCATCAGTTTTCATTCAATCTTTATATTTGTGACTACATGATCCATTATTTCTCTGATTGGAGACAATTGCTCCTTGAGGGCATGAGCTGTGCTTGTTTTGGTCGCTATGGCAGTTCTAGTTCTAGCATGTGTCCTGGCACTTAATAGGCGAGCAGCAAATACTAGAACAAGGAAAACTTCACACACGACAGGACTCTGCCCTCTGCAGTATGTTGCCGGGAGAGGCAAGTATGTTCACTATTCAGGGTTACAGAGATTTATTTAACACAACTCTGGTGGCCATGAGGCCCCATGTAATCTGCCATTGGAGTACTGGGGAACCTGGGAAGCTGGGGTGTATGTTCTAGTCTAAGTCTGCAGGTTGGATAACCTCTGGAGGTAAGAGGCGATGGAGGTTCAGCGTAAAGAGAGAGGGAATTTGCCTTTCCTTGGCCTTTTAGTTCTCGTCAGGCCCCCAATGGGCTGGATGGTGCCCACCAGCTCTGCTGCAGTGATCTTTACTCACTCAGGGTGTGGGGTCAAACGCTAATCTCTTCTGGAGACACCCTCCCGGACACAGGGTGGGAAATTTTTTCCTAAGCTTCTGGGCATCCACTAGTTGTTTATTGAGAGAGAGAGACACGGACGGAGAGCGAGCGAGTGCACACTCCCCAGGTGTTGTTGAGTCAGCACAGTAATACTTCTCACATCGGTATTACCTAGATTGGTAATTCAAGAGCTCTCAGTTGGTGTTCTGTGAAGAAAGAATTATTTTAAAAACAGATGTAATGAAAATGTTAAACACTTTCTGGAGAGTTATTATTCTGTGATGATTCATGTTTAAGAAGAGATGCACAATAAGCTTTTGTCAGGGGTTATGTGTGGGGAGAACCTCCTTCATTTTACATTTGCTTCTTTAAGTGATAAAATCCATATAACATAAAATTTACCATTTTAGCTATTTTGAGGTGTCTGGCTTGACGGGATTAAGTATATTCACATTGCTTGCGGCCACCGCCATTGCACTGTATAGATTACTAGCTCACAACTCACTGTACAGCACTCTCATAACCACCTCCAGCCCGAAGGGTGGCTCCTGGGGTATTGCTACTTGGCAATACCCCTACTTTTGTCTTAGTGCTCACTTGAGGGGCAGGTCTCCAGGGCTAAGGGAGTCAGGACAGACCAGTCTCCTCAACTGGGCTGATACCCACGTGGAAATAATTGTAATAAGGGTCTATCTTCCTAGCACAGGCAGGGATGTTGTTTGTAGGTGAGTCTGGAAAGTTGATGTCTAAGTTTTCTGGAGGTTGGACTTAAGAAGAGCAAGGCTGAAAGAATCACAGAGGAATGAAGCTGGGGCAGTGCTAAAGTTTACCCTACTGTTCCTGGGAGGTTTTTAGTGAGATGGGCCAGTAATTTCTTGTTTAAGTTATTTTGGCATTTCCTCCCTTAATACCTAGGAGAAAAAGCAGCGTAATGCATCTTGGAAGATACCCAAAGATGCAGCTTCTGTCTTCTCATTATAACATTTATGTTTCCTTCTTTCCTGAAGGTGTCAACCTGCGGTAGAGACTGCCAGTTTCCTGCTTACAAACTATTGCTCTTTGCCCTCTTTGTAAGGACCTTCGGATTTCATCTATGGTGGTGATGTTCCAGACAAAAGACTGAATCTCCCATTTTCCCTCGCAGGAAGTGTGACCACAACCTGCAGCAGGTGAGGAAAGGGGCTGACTCAGCTGGAAAAGAGATCCACCCTTTGCCATCCCTGCTTTCACAGAAGGGGAGCTAGGAGACATCCTGGATGATGGGATGAGATAGGGGCCAGCACTTCCCTGGGGGCTGTGGAGTCATGTTAGAGTATTTGCTTTTGAACTTCTCTTACGTGCATGTGAGAAAAATAAGCTTACAATTTAAACTGTTTTGAATTTTCTGTTAGAATGTGTCTGAACCTAATTCTAACAGACTCACAGCCTGAAATATGTCCAAAAGACGCAGGATGACCTGTATTTGGCTTACTGGGCAGCAACTTAGCGACTCAGGAGGGAAAGAGCTTTATATATAGCAGGACCTACTTTGGGGAAGGATAATCTCTGTTTTATCTAGACTGGGACTTGGCCACCTTGGGTTGATCCAAATCCTTAAATGACACAGGTCCTGAGCAAAGCATAGAAACACCTGCCTGACATACATACTTGAATGCCTCTCCCAGACTCAAACTTAATGAGTCAGAATGAAACCGATCTTGTCCATCACAGTCCTCCCTGTCACCACATTGATTTCTTAGTCCACATTACTCTTCTAGTGAATGTTCACTAAAGTTCATATTCATCCACTTACTGTGCCGCGAGCCCGGGGGCTGTCTTTGACAACTTCTTATTCATTTTTTAAAAACTGAAGACACATTTGAAATAATATTATGTGTCTGGTGTACAACATAGAAATTCAGTATATATACATAAATATAGTGAAATGATCCGCTCTAGAAGTGTCCTTAACATCTAGGACCACACACAGTTACGATTGTATGTTAGAGCTTTTAAGATACGCTACTTAGTAAATTTCAAATATACAACACAGCATTATTTTTTTAAAGATTTATTTATTGATGATTATAAGAACTGGGGTACAGGCCAGAGGTATGGGAGGTGAGAGGATTCACCAGAGACAGAGTGGGGAGCAGAACAGGCAGACTGACTGAAATACACTGCTGAGGGAGTGGCAGGTGAGTCAGGAGAGGTCTGTTGTGCCATGTGGTTAGCTCCCTGACCGGGGATCTAACTCATGCTGCTGAGGCTGCGGATAGCTTCACAGCGCTGCCCTCAACCCCTTGTGCCACCAGGGAGGCCCTACAACACAGCATTATTGATATTACCATTCCAGTTAGCATTTTCATATTTTTCAGTTAAATACCCAGAAATGGAAGATTCTGTGGTCGTTCTAAAATTTTTGAGGAACTTCCATACCATTTTCCATAGTTGCTGTCCCAATTTATGTTCCCACCATCAGTGCACAAGAGTTCACTTTCCTCTACAACGTCACTTTCTTCCTCATTTCTTTTTTTCTTTTTTTTTTTCTTTCTTGTGGGACCCTCCCTGGTGGCTGGGGAAAGAACCGGCGGGCGCTGCAGAGGCTGCGGGCAGCCTCACAGCCCAGCTCTCAACCGCTGCGCCACCAAGGGAGGCCCACTTTCTTCCTCATTTCTAATGTTGAGGCCATTGTCAAGACCCAGAATTCCCCTCTACAATATGTTTTGATGTGTCTATTTCTCTCTGTCTCCATGTCACCTGGAGGGCTAAGAGATACCTTTTCTTGCTTAGACAGCTGCACAAGTCTTATGTCTGGATTCCCATTCTCCACACTGTAGCTTGAGAGAAATCAGCAGGCAGATCACATTACACAATGCTGAAGACTCTTCTTTGAGGCTCCCAAATGCATTAGGATACAATCTTGAATCCTAAACATAGCCTCTGAGGCTCTGCACGAGCTGGGTCCTCCCTCACCCTCCAACCCCCAGTGCATTCTTAAGCTAGCTCCTCCCACTTACTGTGCTTCAGTCCCCAACTTTTTTATTTATAATCAGTTTTGAAATATGGCTTGAGTTCAACTTCAATGTTTTTCCCAAGCCAGTTATCCCCTATGTTGATGCTTTGCTGTTGGTGATTACAAATTGCCACAAATATCTGCCCCCATCTTGTTTGTCTCAATTGGATCATCCACAGTCTAGACAGCTGTGAGACTCTGGGTTGGGGAATCTGCTACAGTATAGGGATCTGTTCCTCAACCTGATGACTCCCTTTCGCTTGGTGATGCGACACCCAGACATGTACTCCTTGTCTGCTGCTCATAGACACACAGGGAACTCTGGAAGTAGAGCTGGGAGAGAAGGTGCATGGAGGAGAGCCTTGAAAGGATCAGTGTGGCTTGCTCTGAGGTTCTAGATCCATTGTCCAGTGCTCTCTATCAGGTAATCCTCGCAGCCCAGCTCAGATTTGCTGAAATCTGGTCTGAACTTCTAATACCACCCAGTCTTCGGTAGCTACTGGAGAAGGTAACATCACCCAAATCTTGTTCACTGAGGGCTGAAGCATCAACAATTGCTTACCCATGCAAAGCTGTGATCTTTTCTTGCTGTGAGTTTGGTGCCAGTGCTCCGAAGGGCTAGTGAGAGTTCAGGTCATGAGTTGTATTTCAGGTAGGACCAGTATTTATTCACCTGTGGTGTCCCTCATGCTTTGTAACAGCTACTTTTAGGGACAGAGTCCACACTGAGTTGGAGTCTGACCTTTTTTAGTATCTTGAATCGCAAAGGCTCTCCTATCCCAGGGGCCAGATTACTCTGGATTACTCTGCTCCCACCCACCTATTTACTGGTTAACTCCTATTCATGCTTCTGGTCACTGATTAAAGGACACTTCTTCAATGAGTTTTTCCTGGCCACACTCTATTTACATCAAGTCCCCCAATTATAATCAATCCCACACCCATGAACTGTGTGGCACTTTAATTTTAAATTAGGTACATATTTGTGTGAATTTTTTTTTTAATGGTACCATGTCAGTCTTTCTCCATAGACCAAAAGCACAGTGATGCCAGACAGGGTTTTGTGTATTGTTGCATCTCTAATACCTTGCACAGTGGCTAACGTGCATAGAAGAACCACAAATATTTGTGGGAAGAATGAATGAATGAACAGAGTCAGCTGAGACCTGGGAGCTCATAGCATCCGCATCTGTGATCACTTTCCTTGGATTCTGTTTTAGGATTTAAAGCTGTGATTTCAAGGGGATAGACTCCCTCTCTCCCCCCACCCAACTTTTCCCATACTGATGGGAATCTTCACCTCCTCCCTACCCCCTCTCTTCAGTACATCCTTCCCACTGCATTCTCCATCTCCCAGGCATCATCATTCTAACTTTTCAGCAGGTGCTTTATAGACACAATTTTATTAAATCTTCTCAACCAACCTGCAGTTGCAATGTCAGCACCTCCATTTCATGGATGGCCAGTCTGAGCTTTAGAGAAAAGGTACCTTTGTCAGGTCACAACTATTAAATAATGAAATTGACTCAGAACCCAGCAATTCCTGTCTTGCCGTAGACCCATATGATTTCTCTTCACTTGGTCAGATTTCTCACTCATTCCACAGTTGCTGATCATCTCTTCCAGGCACTATATCCACGGCGTGATTGAATAAAACCAAACTAGGCAGGCCCCTCTTCTCTCTGCGATCACAGTAGCCTTATTAGCATTGGAAATTTGATTTCTATCCACCTGCCCTTTAATACTGGTGTTCGTGTGTAAAATGACATACTTCACAGCATGTGTTGTTGCAACACACACTTGCAGTGTTGTGTTGTTTTAAACCACATTCAGTGAAGTAGAGTTCTGGAGACTGGGAGTGGAAAGTGGTAATAAAGGAGAGGCAGCTGTGGATCAATACATGTGTTTTTAAACTTTTAAATTGAGATATATTTCACATACCAGGGAAAAAAGTTAACTCATTTAACATAGGCCATTCAGCGATTTTTAGTATATTCAGAGTTGTGCAACTAATATCAAAATCTAAGTTTAAGTAGTTTTCATCCTCTGCTAAGGAAACCCCTTCTTGAACCCCACCCCGCCCTCCAGCCCCTGGCAACCACCGATGGACTGTGGGTAATTTTCTGTTCTGGATATTTCATCTGCGCTGAATAATATATGGGGTCTTCGGTGACTGACGTCTTTCTCATTAAATGTTTTCAAAATTTGGATGTAACAGGCACCAGTTCCTCATTCCCTCTTATTGGAGGTTAATATTCCACTCTTTGGATACCCACATTTTCTACTTGGGTTCATCCCACTTTTTGGCTACCACGAATGATGCGTTTACGAACAAGGATTTGCCTGGACTTACCTTTCCGTGTCTCTTGGGCTTACAGGTAGGGAGTCAGTCGCTGGTCCAAGCTCTTTGAGGGTCAGGAGGCCTTCTTGGGGGGATTTTTGCTCAGAGGATGGAGACAGTGTTTACTGACATCCCTTCTTAAGTGTTCCCTCCCCCCGCCCCCCCTTATTTGCCTGTTTTATTCTCCTCTTTGGAGACTCCAGCCCCTCTGCTGGTCTGGGGATGGGGGTGGTTGGAAACCGAAACTCTCCAAACCAAACGTGCTTGGTAAAACATTTTGAATTCTCTGGAGGATGGACATTGAGGTAATAATGTTTATCTGTTTATCTGCGGCTTAGCCATTCCGAGGACTGTTTTGTAACAAAAGAGCTCATTGAGTAGGAGGCTTATTTAGCTCGCTGCGGAGGGCTGCTCTCCTGCAACGTGCTGTCCAAACAGATTCTTAATTACCCAGCTCAGTGTCTGAACGTTTTAAAGAATCCCTTTGAAGTTTCTTGGTGATGCTACCCTTCTCAGTAAACCTCTGCGCATACACATGGTGTGGGCTTGGGGGAAATGTCTGTAGGTCTGCTGGAGAGTGCTGGGCGCGTAACTGCTTAGTAAATTGGTAGTGGCTATTATGAAAAGCGACTCCAACGACCAATTGCGGTTTCCTTTAGGTATAAGTGAAATGTCAACTTTTTTTGGGGGGGGGCGGGTGGCGCACCTGTGAGTTGTTTCAGAACCCAGCGGCTTCCCCAGCAGCACTGGGGTGCGTTCACGGCCGGTCGTCACCCCCTTCCCGTGAAAGCCACACGGACTTGGGCACGTGCCGTGCAGGATAAAAGGGTCGCGGCTGCCCACCCAGACCCGCTTCCCCACCGGATCGCGGGGCAGGTCTCGCCACCCTGGCCCTGTCCCTCCGCTCTCCCCCGCCAGGCGCCCGAGCGCGCGCGTCCTGCCCGGGTAAAGCTCTCCATCCACAGCGCAGACGCCACCCGCGCTTTCCTTGAAGCGGGGGCGCAAATGAGGAAAGGAGAGCCCCGCGTGCGCGTCCCCTCCCAGCTCTGGGGTGTCCCCCGGCCAGCCAGACCCCCGGGCTGGGGCGCCGGCTGCGGGATGAGGGCGTGCCGGCTGGGCAGACACCCCTTCCCGAGCCGGGCGCGCTCTCCGGTCGGGGAGCCGACCCCGAGTCACCCCCCGAGAGGAGCCGAGGACAGGGGAGGCGCGCGGGGTGGGGAGAGCCGCGGGCCGAGATTCTAGCGCGGGGCCGCCTCGGAGGAAGGGGAGGGGCGCCGGCGCGGGGAAGAGGCGCAGAGGCGCCGGGAGAGGAGGGGAGAGGAGGGGCGAGGAGGGGAGAGGGGGGCGGGAGGCGGAGGGAAAAGCCGGGGGCGCGCGGGGCCGCGCGGGGCGGGCCCGGGAGGCGCCCGGGGCGGGGCGCGGCGGCCTCGCGCCTCCGGGCGGGCGCGCGGCGCGGGGGCCGGCGGGGCGGGGCGGCGGCGGGCGCCCGGGCTTCGGCGGGGGCTGCCGGGATTGGGGCGCCGCGCTGCTCGCTCGCCTGGCGGCTGCTGGCGCGCACGGTCCGGCCTCGCTCCGGGCACAGGTCCGCGCCGCCCGCCCGCGCCCCGCACCTGGCGGCCGCCCCGCCGCGCGCCCCGCGCCGTCATGGGGCTGCAGCCCCTGGAGTTCAGCGACTGCTACCTCGACAGCCCGTGGTTCAGGGAGCGGATCCGCGCCCACGAAGCGGAGCTCGAGCGGACAACAAGTTCATTAAGAGCTCATCAAGGACGGGAAGAGCCTCATCGCGGCCACCAAGAGTAAGCGGGGGCCGGGCGCGCGCGGGGCGGCGCGGCCAGGCCGGGGGGAGCCGCTCCCCGGGGGAGGCGGGCGGTCCCGGGCCTCGGCGCGTCCCCGGAGGGTCGGGAGACCTTTTCGGCAGCTGGAGGCCCGGGACCCTTCTTCGCCCAGCCAGCAGGGGCGCGGCCCGGGCGGCCTCCGCCAGCACCCCTGGGTGCTGGGGCTCCGCTGAACTGAACCGGACCTGCGCTCGGGTCCTTGCACACTAAGGCTGCCCGCGGACGGGTGCAAAACAACCTATAGGGTGACACGTTTTGTCTGTTGGCCTCTCAGAGAGTTTGCAGGATGCTTGGAAAACCTTCTGGGTGTCGAGCGCTTCCGGAGCACCTTCCGCTCACCCTCTCTGTGTTTTTGATTTCCCCCGACTGTCTGGTCTTGGTCTTAAATTCGCCAAACCAGAAAGTTCACCTGGCCGTGTGTGCGCTTTCTGCACATTCCTTCCCTCCTCCAGCGCCTGGGAGGGTTCAAAGATTGGCGCTTGGAAGGGTGAGCAGACAGCCTGCCTTCTGGCCTGAGTGAGCACTGCCTGCAAGCCGGGAGTTCCACCCTGGTCAAGCTCCATGCTTTCCTCTCCTGCTCCGTGACGCTTGTCAAACTCTTGGGTGGCTGCAGAAGAAACGGGAGTGATGTGCTTAATTGCAGTAGCTGAGAAGAGTCTTTGTAAGGTGGGCTGAAATTTAAGCCAAAGCGCCGACTTAGGGATGCTGCTGGTAATGGGAAGGTATTAGCTCCAGGAAGGAGCCTGACCACACTTGCAACCCACCTAACCACACCTGTAACCTATCTGACCACACCTGTAAGTCCTAGGTGCTTCTGAGGATGCCTGTGCATTCCCCTTTAACCTCTTCAAGAGACCTGTGCATCCAGCCTGACCTGTGTCGTCTGGGACTTTATCTCTTCCCTGGTTTCTCAATTCAACAATCTCTGCCTAGAAAATTTGTCTCTTCTCACTGGCTTGCAGACATTTCTGGGAAAAGTACTCCATGTCAACTTCTCCACCCCCTCCACCCCCCCGTTTTGCATTATGAGAGATTAAAAGCTCCTGGACATCATGTCTCAGGTACCAAGCACATTACTCGGAACAGGAGATACTCAATAAATGAATTGAAATACATTTTAATGGGAAGAATTTAGTGAGCCATCCCTGTAATTTTGGAAGCAAGTTGCTCCACTTTTCTGGATGGTGTCCAGGGTTCCTTTTGGCTGTGTGACCTCTTTGGTTTTGCACAGTGTGGACGGGGAGTCACTATGTTTGGAACATGTGACTAGGGAACTGACTTGGTTGATGGGGCTCCAGTGCCTTGGCATTAAGTATGTGTGTGGGGTGGGAGGTAGCGAGAGACTGTAATGCCCAGGAGTGGGTATGGGAAGAGGACCTGTGTGGGTGTGGGGGTGTGTGCTCAGTGTGAGGGAGAAGACTGCTGCTCCAGCTTACTTTTCATCAGTGTCCCTGGCAGTGGGGGTGATCCTTCTGCCCTTAGACCAGCTGTAGCAGCTCCCTGCAGAGCTAGGGAGATGAAGAGGGAGGTCTGGAGAGGGGCAGAAGGCAAAGCCAGTTTGGCCACTGATAGAAAGCTATTTATGTGACTGTGCATTAGCTCTGCCAGCAGGACACCAGCCTTGTGTTCCAGCAGCAGCTCGTAGGTCTGGGGGCCAGCTGTCAGCTTTCCTTTCCAGAGTGTTAGGCTTATCCGAATTTGTGAATCAGTATCCTTACTCCTGTTAATTCTTGTCCTTTACCGGCAGCAGTGTATTTGTACGTAAGCTGAAGAGAGCAACAGAGTGGCTTTTCTCTTTCTTAGGTTTAAATCTTTCCCAGAAGATGACGAAAACCCAGCATTAGCTCACGTGCTGCTGGCAACTTAGCACCACTTTGCCCTCGTGCAGGTTGCTCCACTTCTAGTTCCTTCCAAAGACTTAAGGACACTGGACTTAAGTCGAGACACCTGAGTTTAATTCTCCTTTGCTGTTAGGGCCAGGCTGCAGGACAATGGAGCAGGTCACTTGATTCCGTTTCTCGTGGCCTACTTCTAGGAGGCATTAGTGGGTTCTGCTGTGTTTGGAAATGGCTTGTTTAGGTCATTTGAAATTGCAGTCTAGGTCAATTGTTTGCTGAACCAGTTGAGCCTTTCTAGAACATCTGAGAGTCAAGAAGTCAAGGAAGGACTTGAGGGAGGTAGAGGGAGGAGCTGCACAGAGAATAACAATCAACTGGGTCAAATCGCTTATGTTTTCAGATATTTGTCAAAAAACGGCGTCTTGTGCTTTTTCGGAATTGTGTCTTTACATACTTTCTGTTTGTAACTGCCCTGTAAGATTCCTCCTGCATCCACCCAGTAATTGTTGGATTTATGTAATTTCCATGTCTTGAATGTTGTAAAAATATGTAAAGAAGTTGGAGGCGGTGTTGAGGAGCCTGAAGGCTTTCTGCTGAGTTCAGTTATGTAGCAATCAGCAAATACTTAGCATCTGCAGTGTATTAAGTATTGGGATTGAGATACCCAGGGTAGCAAGACACAGACCCTTGTGCTTAAGTTTATTGGATCAGGTTCCATCCAGGGAACGTGTTTGAACTCCTGTTTGCATGAGGCTCAGTTCTTAAACTGTGTAAGATGCAGACTCACGGTTAAAAGGTTAAAAAGTGATAAGTACCCTAACTTGGTAGAAGCAGCAGTTTGTTGCTTTAGATTAGGGTGGGGAAGGTTTACTGGGAATCTGGGAACTCATGGGGGTGTTTTAAAGGAAGGCATAGAACCTTGTCAGACTGGAAACAGTTGAGAAGGCTGAACCCATGAGGCGACTTGTTTGGCTGGAGTGGGGATTTCAGTTCGAGTAGGATAGGCTGGAGGGCCAGGAAAGCAGGGTGGGGCCGTGGATTATCTCCTGGGCAGAATCACCCAAGATTTTTCAGCAGAAGCCTGCTATTATGGGAAAGAATAGTGGAGGAAGAGTATCTGACATCTGCAGGGCTGGCTGGGAGCTAGCAGAAGGCAAGGGAGGAGTTTTAAAATTTTCACTCCTTTCCTAGAACAATTTCCCCTTGCAATACAGTTTAAACATTTGCAAGCCTTTCATGAGGTACCTCCAGTCTCAGATGCTTATGATATGTAGAAATGAGTAGCATATTTGCCAGAAACAGCACTAAGCCACATTGCAACAGGTGTTCTTGAGAGCTATGTTCTAGAGGGAAATAGATATTTTAACAAATAGCCCTTACGGTTATTAAGTGCTTACATAGTTATCTGAAATCATCTTCTGTGAACTTAGCTTGTCTAAAGTGCTTGGTTTCGAGAGTTCTCTCTCCCCGCCACCTCTCCCCTCTCTCCCCACCCCACATAAGTGAGCCTGTTCTGTCACAGACATGGAGAAGGATATTAGTGGCAACTAGGACTAGAATTTGACTCTTCTAGTCTTTGGTTTGGGTTCTTTTGGCTTTGATTTTTCATTGTTTTTCTCAGTCCAGTGTAAAAGTTCCCTTTTGCCATCTGTGTTCATTGTTTCAGAGAAATGATTCATATAAATGATTCATATGGTAACTCCTTTCAAGGAAATGAGTTTCCAGTGGCTGTTGCATTAAAACATGCGAGGACTTGGAAGACTTAAGAGTTGCATTTTGTAAACTTGAGCCCCAGTTTCCTTTTTCGTAAAATGGGCCTGTTGCAGAAAGGGTTGAATATTGACTAAAGGGGTGTGGAAGCGTTTAGAAACCACACATGTGAAGTGGCAGTGTAGACTCTTGGCCCAGCCAACGTAGTTACTTTGACAATTCAAATTATATTCAGGTGTCTACACCCTGCCCCACATGACCAAGGGATGAATGATTGGGGTAATTCCGATGATTGTGACTCAGTCCTAGCTGACCATTAGAATCCCCTGGGGGATTGGAAAAAGAAAAAAAAAGATGCAGTTAGGGCTGAGGATCACTGCACTCTCGGTTATTAAGCCCAGTTTAAGATGAGAATGTATCTTAGTTCTGGCCAGGGAGACGTGATAGAAAGTCTACTGGAGACTTAGGGAAAGATATTTGTAGTGGCAGAAATGGGCACAGGGCAGGTTTTCTATGTTTCCAGCAGACGGGTGAAGGAGGAGTGAGTCCTGGAGCCCTCGGTGGCCTTTCAGGCTTTTATTGGGATTTACCAGGTACATGGCAGGTAGGGGTGCTGGGGGGCCGGGAGGCTGGCAGGCCAGCAAGTCTTCACTCTTTCTGGGCTCTCTGGTGTTCTTTCGCGTTCTCTCTGCTTCTCTCGTGGTTCTGCTGGCGTCCCCATGACGCCACTCTTGTAAGCTCAGTCTCTCAGCCCAGGTGAAGCCCATCTACGTATGCCCACACCCTACTCCAGGTACCTGCCATCAGGCATGCATTCAGGACTGCAGGGATCCATCATCCATCCTAGTGGCGGGAGGGCAGAAAAGCCTCATGTCATTTACTTACCCTACAATATTCTTTTGCATCGAGACGAACATTCCTAAAAGATTAATATTCAGCTGTGACATTGGATGTGATGCCCGGAGCTACTCCTGCCATTTTGGACCATGAGTACAACCATGGTAAGGAGCAGGAAGCAAACATACTGGGTTTTGATAAGCATCCTGGGAGCCACAGATTCTTCTGTGCCTGAAGCCCACTTCTGAATAGCTTATTAAATAATGTAAGCCACTTCAAGTTGGGTTTCCTCTTAGTTAATATCCTAGTTGTAAATTTTAAGCTGCTGCACCTATAAAGTGGAATTTAGAGATGTATAGGAATAAAAGCTATTCTAAAAATTAATCACAAGTATTTCCCCCTGCATGGAAAAGGATACTTGGGTATATTCTTTCCCCCAAAGAAATCACCGTGGACCCTTACAATTCGGAGTGTCACCTGATAAGTGGTAAACTCTTTCTTGGGGTTTTACTG